GTCTGAGACTATGCTTTAGTTTCAAGCTTAGGTTTCCAGCAACAATTATTGTTGCATTGCAGCTGGCAGTGCTATGTTCATTGGAGTTCCCCTCAGAGTCGGCTCTTGATGGAGATTTGGGATATGTGAACTCACTTCTGGCAAAGAGTTTTGGCTAAAACAATAGAGTATTGATTTACTGATATGATATGAACAACACAAAGCAGAATATATATTATATATAATGTTATGTTGTGCTACTATTGTAGGATATGTTTCGACATATTTAGAAGTAAGTAGATGGATCTATTCAGTAGAGGAACAACATATGATATGATTCATAAAATATTACAAAAAGCATATGTGTCTTTTTTGATTCATGACTAAGGATTGGTGGTGGTCGACGCGTCTGAGTCCACAAATAGAAAAGGCAACAGGCCATAGACAGTCCGGAGCCTGCATGTTGTCAGCGAAACTGACATTGACCATGTTGTTTCAAAAAACATATATATATATATTTATTTATGTAGTAATTTGGATGCCTTGTTGTGGATAACACAACTTGTAACTTGTGTTGCTAAATTAATCGACTGTCAGCTGTGCCTTCTTTCTGCCTTTAATCGGATTGGCGAAACACCTGCCGATCCCGACCCCTATCTCCCTGGGTGATGAAGTGGCATATCATAGTTATGATATGTGGCGACATGTTTATTCTTTCTACAAATAGTTAGAAATCAAGCACCACTCATATGTTTTGATTGTGTGGAACACACATATGCACAGATCGAATGCCACGATACAAGTGTCTGGACTCGTTCAGTGAGCCTTTCTTGGGCAGACCACTGGTAGATCTATAGTTTACGAAGCACTTATGTTCATGTTACAACAAAGTCAATGCTTGTACATGTTGATCTGACACACAGTGGTAGCTCACGCCAGTTCAAGCTTGCGTCAACTCAGATGAGATGAGGGAAGAAGAAAAGAATGCGATGTTTTGGCAATGATCGGAACATCTTGGAACTATGTCTACCATGATTGGCTTGTCGGACGTTGTCGACTGTTTTGATTGTTTTATAAATATGTTTCTTTAAACAAGGAAGCCATAGCTGTGTACTAAGAACACATCACTATAAACCTAGAAAGCTGTACCTATGTACCTAAAAAAACATACCCATGTACCTAGACAGGCGTACCCATGTACCTAGAAAAGCTTCCCATGTACCTAGACAGGCGTACCCATGTACCTAGACAGGCGTACCCATGTACCTAGACAGGCGTACCAAGACATCGTACCAACATTCGATAGCATACTGTCACACCTACTTTGAACTCTCATAATCAGTTGTGATATATTTAGAGACTGCTTGGCGCATGTCACTTTTGATTCGAGAGTTGTCATGATGTGTCACTTCATGATTCATGGTGAAAGTGGAGGTGGTATTACGTATCGCCCAGGGAGGCAATCCGCGTGGGATTGCGACAAGCCTCCGGGTACAGAGGGTCCACCAGGTTGCGCACACCTGCAGGCCCGCGCACTCGGCGGCAGTTAGAAAACTCGATCGAAGTTCCGCTTGGAGACTGGTGACTCGTGACGGGCCTGTTTCTAGACGAGCGTTGTTGTCTGAACGTCAAAGACATGTATGCGGCTTCGAGCAGAGCCCCGAGAGTCCACGTTGTCGAAGATAAGATCATGAAGGCTTCGGCCCTATTCAAGGCTGGCGGATTGTGCAACTCATATAAGAACGACCTTGCCAGAACCAAAGAACATCGTTTGACACTCTGTCACAGCTGGCATGACAAGTTGGACATCAGTCGGAAATTCACGAGGTCTGTGCTTCGAGGAGTTGCTGGCAAGTCGAAATCTGAAGCTGCTTTTGATCTTCAGGCCGGCGCAATATTGTCAGCGCGCTAGATGACAACGATGGTCCCTTTCATGATGAGGGGCCGACTCATTTCAAAGCGTTGATAGATGCGTGCGCCTGGTTGTTTCTGCCGCGAGAAGTTGAAGCGCCAAGACGCAGATGACCTGACCTTCTCCAAATTGATTGGAAGGCAAAGGGACCGAGATCTTCGACCGGGCCAGTATTGTCCGAAGGCCGGCGTGACCGCTACTATAGATGGCTCATGGGCTTCATTTCGCATTGCAGGCGCCCGGGCGCGTGCGTCTCATGGCCTCAAGCCTAAACCCTATCACTGTACAGTTGATGGGGAGACGGGGCTCAGACGCTGCGTTGCCCTACATTGCGGAGAGTCCTCTTGACATTGAAGGATTCGCTGACACAGTCCGCGGAAAAGGACTCGGAGCTTGCAGACTGAACAACGATGAAGCTGTTGCACGCGCAGTCAGTTGACAGCGCCCTTTGGACGTCAAGGCTGACCTGACGGCATTGACTGAAGAGCTGATGAAACGCAAGGAAGTTGAGACGTGTGGATCAGCTTGAGTCTGAGTTAGTGAAGCCAACGAGAAACTCGATGGTGTTGCAATAGTTTTGGACGGACAACGTCTCGTCAGGTGCTAGGCACTCCGCCAAAATTCGACGTGACCAATCGCCCACGCAATGGAAAAGATTGTGTGGCCGGCCATCTTCGGCGAAGCCGTGCGCGAAGTCCCAGGTGAGTCTTTCAAGAGACTCTGCCCCAAGTGTTTTCCCAACGCTGACGGCGCCTCCTCCAGCTCGTCTTCCAGTGAGTCTGGAGATTAAAGAGTAGGTTGGTCTTGAGGTTGACGCCAATCTCAGACTCAGACACCCGTGTGATAATATGTTATGCGCATGCATATTGAGATGGGTTGCATGGGATTCGAACCATTCACAGCAGCAATCCTAGGTGAAAACCTGCTGGGAGGAGGGTGGGCTTTGGGTACGCAACTCAAAGGTTTACTGCGCATGATCGCGTAAAGTATGTCGAATCGACGATTGATTATGCTCCAACAGCCCTTTCAAGACACTGCGCGTACATGTCTTGGTGTGTCTTAGTAAGTTTCTCGATTGCCCTCAAGCGTCAATCTGAATGACACTTGGCCGTCGAAGTGAATTGGGCCCGGACAAATGGTGTTTTCGTCGAAAACTCTTTAGTATGTTTCTAAATGTTGTTTCACTCAAGCGCACAGCAACTCTTCTTGACGCAGCGGCCAAAGCCACTGATCTAACGGACGCTTTGCCTACTAGATGTCCTAATTTCAGGCAAGGGCCTTTGAGCATCCCTTGTCCCATACGAGTACACCGTAGTCATGTGGAACCAAATCGCCGGACAGAGCGTGCCTCTCAATCATGTCAGTCATGGAAACCTGTCATTCAGGGTGCTGCGCACAGAGCACTCCTTTAGACGGTTGGATATGGATTAGATTAGAACTCTGTGTTTTCTATACAGTCAGCCCCTTTTGGCACAGTTGAGACTGCAAGCACGTGTACAGCATGCGTAACCTGGTTCTGCAAAGCTACCCTGCGAATTTGGTTGCTGTCTCGATCAGAATCTATATTAGTTGTCTAGGTACTCGATGGAGTTGAGGCCTGACAGGACAGTTGATGCAATTGAGAACTGAGTTTGGGTTGCTTTAGATTCTGTACCTGGAAGGATCATGAGCAAGTGTGCTGAAACGACTGCTCACATGTTTAGAACGGGGCTAAGCTTGGCCTTTGAAGTTGCTTGATATTGTTCCTGAGACATCCTGAGATTGAACTGTTTGCCTTGTTTGCCATTGGCATTTTTGATCTTGAGGAACGCTGGGTCTAGTTACAGTTTTTCACTGTGGGTGTTTGGTGTCCTTTCTCTTCTTTTTCGCTATGAACTGAATTCGCAGATGGTCTCTATTTGAAAGCACTGTCCCAGCTGTGCATCCGATGACCATTTCAGTTTGAAAATGTTTACCCTTGTGGGTTTGATTCCATCAACTAGCTGTGGGGTTGGTGGATGTAAGGTCTCGCAAGGTTCTTATCTGCAAACGCCTCAAAGGGTGGTGCCCACGTGAGGTGCGTTGGAGTGCAACTGGATCATCCATCCATCGGTTATTGTTCCCCCATTGAGATTCCTATGTTTGTTGTCCATACCACTGGCGCATGAACACCTAGTCCTTGTGACGAATATTAAAATGGAAACAGATCGGGCAATGCATTTATTGTCTTTTATATGATATTTTTAATATGGTTGTACAGCTGGACCACTTCGACAAAGACCTGAACTTTTTCGCGAAAAAAATGTTTGCTGCGTGTTGGTCGGACACCCTGCCAAGCGGGTCAAGCTGTTGGGGTCCCTGCATTACAAAAACCTTGATCACAAAACCTTTTGAGAGCTAGTGAAGTCACGAGCACACTAATACAAATTTTGCAAGCAAGCGTAGGTATGAGAGGTCCACCAGTCAATCACAATACAGTATCACTTATGTATATAGATGATACTGCTGAGAGTCTTGGTGTAGAGTGTAGAGTAGTGACTGCGATGTGGAAAGTTCTATATAATATATCCTGAGTATCTACAGCAATTGTATACCAGCATTTCTGGACGGGACTTTTGCATCGTGGTTGTTTCATGCAACTTCATGTGCACTGGGCTACTCGTCCACTGGTCTTCTAAGATGATCGATGTTTGTGTCCTTGTTAACCGTTTAGGTAGCGCAGGTGCAGGATCCCTTTCCTAGTCTTGGGCAAAATATTACGGAGTCGCCCCTACAGACGAGGTCATGCAACGTGCGGGGACTTGCCTGCAGTCCTCCAAAGCACACAGCATTCTGAACAGCTTTGGTCGGGCATGCGAAATTGGTTGACCTCATGGGAAGACTCGACAGAACCAACGCGTCCTTTGTCGCTGTTTGGTTTCCTTTGGAGCTAGGCTAGAACTTGGGCCAATTCTTAAACGGGGGTGTAGAGAGTTGGAATGAGTTGGATGTGGCGTTGAACCCGGTCGTTTGCAGGATACATGCACTTCGTTGTATGTGGAACTTGTTTGTTTCGCATGCTTCACGCGCATCCTGATTTCTAGTGCAGGATAGGCCATTCCCCCAGAGCAAGAGAGACAGAGAGAGGGAGAGGGTTGCCTTGAATGGCAGGGCCTCAAGAACGGCAGCGGACGAGATCGGCCTGTCCTCAAGCTGGAGGCAGTCAGTTTGAGTCAAGAACCGCAACGCGCAATGGTGGACCACCACGACAGTGAATGCATAATATGTGTCCAGTCTCTTGGAAGGTTTGTTTCAGATGCTATCAATGCAGTCTGAATCTGAAATGTGTTTTCGTTTCAACCAAATTATTGGTATTATGGAACACACTGTTTTTCTAACCATTGTTGGAGAGGGCTGCTGGGTGATATCGAGGTCCATAACTTTGCCAGCCATGTTTTGTGAACCAAAAACAACTTCAGAGGATCAGCAAAAATTGTATTATATTGAATGCGATTAAAGATTGAAAAAAGTGCTCTTCAACCGCGCATTGTAATTTTGTTGAGTTCCAAAGAATTGTTCCTTCTTGTCAAAGAGTCAGGCGTTCCGAATCCGGTTTGTACAACAATGTTGCAATGGTGTTTTCCACGTTGCAGGTCGCAGCTGAAGACTTTGTCGAGCGGCGAAACTACATCCAACTGGCTACGGAGCTATAATTTACCATAATTTACCTATTCGGCAAAAGCCTGGTTTATTTCCTGAATAGATTCCATTATAAAGACTCCATGCGCATCCAGGGTTCCGTTTCGATAATGCACAGCGGTTCATCCGTGTCCTTGGATGTACTAGGGTCCTGGTACTTAATGGTCTCTCTTCTTGCTCGTTGGCTATTTACAGTTGCCTACCCTCCCGGCCTGCGTACCCTCCTCAGCCATGGGCCGCTCCTCCCTCCTTGTTGGTGAGTTTGCTGCCCTTTTTTGGACCCGTAGCAAGTCGAAGTTTTCTGATGTAAGGAGCGTAGACAAAACAATATCATATCATGGTTAGTGCAAGACATCGAGAAGAATAGCAGCAAAATAATTGTTTGTTGGATGGCTGAAACAATTTTGCTGGACAGAGTGTGCGGCCCATACTTGGGAACTTTAGTGCAGGTAGTACGGGATTCTAGGATTTCGGTGGTGACATCAAGAAAAGGTTGTGTTGCATGTAGCAAGGCTCGAATGGGCTCAACAAATATCTCCCAATGGGGCGTGCTGAGGCGTCCGGAGCTGCCAAAAAGCAAGTGAAGGCCTTCCGAAATGTCATGGGTTGGGGCCTTAGGCCTTTGGCTTCAGAGCAGGAGGCATAGGAGGTCTACTGGGTTTGGCTGTACTCTGGCGCTGCAGCTAGCATGTGAAATCTCTCAAGGGCAATCCCGGTGTGGAAAGATATATCAATGGCCGGAGCTACCAAGGCCCACCGCGATTTGGAGCAGATGTCCGAACCGAGTTGTGATGGGTCGAAAGTCAAGTTAAAAATTGGCTGGCGGCTGGCATCGCACTATCATTGTCACACATAGATGTCAACACAGTTCAATCAATGCCTTCGATGCACCATGGAGGCTCATCGACTGGAGAATTATATAGTACTGTAGTTTTGACTACACTTCAGTGATTGTGTTCTCAGCACACTTTCGGCTGGACACTTTGCGCTGTAGAACGTACTTCAGACAGCTTCATGGTTCCGAACATTTCCGAGCACATCAACCAACACAATGAGAAGAATATATGGACGAGGTAATGAATGAGACCATCCCAAATTGTTTCAGGGAAATGTTTCAGAAAGCGCACGACTTTCCAACTTTTCTGGACTTGGGGATTGAGGGGGACAGCAGAAGGGCAGAGTACAAGAGAACAAGCCGGGAAATTGGATTCATGCTTATCGCGGACAATTCGGGTTTGTCCCTGTGATAGCTCAGCGTGAGCAGAGCTGATCACGCAGACGTAGTGTCCAACGGACAGCTTTGTACACAGCTCGCAGGGGTTAAGTGAGTTCGCACCTGCCCATGGCCGTGGTTCTTCCACTGCCTGCAGACCAACGGGAGGTAAAGCAATCCACCATTGACCATTCAGAAGTTGTCAGTTCAATTGTCTACAAATACGTGTTTGCTCGGTCGAAGAAGCCGAACTGATGCGGCATCAGACAAGAAAGGGGGAGTCACCACTGCACAAGCGTCTCTTTGGGCCTGTCTGTGCAAAAAGCACAGCCCAAGCGTCTCAACGTGTGGCATTACCCAAGCCACTTTGATCAAGACCGCATCGTATGTCCTAGGGGCCAAGTAACTGCCAACACACTGAGGCTGCTGGCCTCCAAGTGTTTGAAGCACCGTCATTGGCAGATTGAAGGACATCTTCTCAAACACTGCGCAGCGCCAAGCCTGTGAATTGCGAGCTTGGGCATTGACAAAGTGGTTGGCACAAGCACCACCACCAACCAAGCGCGTGAAGTGCCATCATTGACAGGGCTGAGGTAGTCTGCACTGCACAACCACTGCCCACCGACAAAGATGCGACCCTAGGCATTGACAAAGCAGTTCGGGCAAGCGCAGTTAGCTACCTAACATTAAAATTAGAGAGCTCGACGTTATGCGGGTGTGGTTTTTACGTGCTTTTGTGGTGTTTTTTCTTAGATTTTGTCATGTTTAGTCAGAGTTTCCATGGTTATAGTCTAGATATGTTCTTGTGCTCCTGTTTCCTAAACAAAACCAACTTTTCTTGTTTAAAAAAAATCTGGATCCAACTCTACCCTTCCTTGCCCATAAGCATTCTCATTGTTTCAAAGGTAGCACTTTT